TTTAAAAAAATTTAATATATTAGCCTAAAATTTCGGGTCGGGTTCGGTTCGGGTTGAGGCTCTAACCCGAAAATTTTCAACCCGACCCGACTTGAAATTTTCGGGTCGGGTTCGGGTTGGCTCAAAACCCGACCCGATCCGATCCGTTCGGAGCACTAATTGGCATAAATCGTATATTTAGCACTGTCGGAGGCAAAACTGGGCGACAACACAGACCAACCCACAAAAATACACAACCACAACCACAACCCACACCTCTCAATATACTAGTCTTGATTTGGCAAGGTAAGGCTAAATCGGGTATATTGTGGGTTTAAACAAACAATTTTTTTTTACTTATTCCAGCACACTTCCTCTTTTTTTAATTAGAAGGCAAAATAGACTATATTTATATCAATTTACATAGGGAAAGAACTAAAGAAAAAAAGCTTTTCTAATCTAAGTCCAAACCCAACACGCCACTCCACGCCATACTGTGCCATTAGAACTTTGCATCCTCCGGCTAAACGTTTGGCACTGCCCAACCATAAATCGGTTTAATCCCAATTCTACCTTTCTTTGTGGCTTTTTACCACAATTTTGCCATGTCTATGCTATCATTTCCCGGGCTTTCGGTTCGGGTCTTCATAATATTTTTGGGCCTCGCGACTTCGACTTTGACGCAGCGGGTTTTGACGGGTTTGCCAGTAACCGCACAAATTTTACACCGAAAAATTTATACTTATAATTTTTGTATAACCGCGAAATAACGCGTAGGGGTGTAATTTCAATTTTCGGCCTAAATTAAGCTTAATTCGGGCCAAACTTCAAAATAACGCCCCTGTGCGTTATTTCGCGGGTATACGGTAGTACTTTTTTTTAATAAATACAGTATTATTGGGTGCTGTATTTTTTTTTTTTTGTGAACATAAAAAAACATAAAATATAAGTTTGAGAACACCTATAGTTATTATACTGTTCTAATGAGAGCAGTATTTTGATCTTAAATTTCTAACACTGTTAATAAAACGTAAATCCTGTCGTGCGATCATATTGAGACAGGGGATGAATCAAGTATATTACATATAAACTAAAAAGTATAAATAATAGCTATTATAATACTATAACTAGGTTTGGTGGTGCAGTTGTAATTCAAGTGATGCGCCACATATATACCAACAAGATCTTCTGGTACGTGGTGCACCTGACGGTGCACCATTATACTACACATATTGTCTGATGCTAGTAGCTGCATATATATCTATCTTTTGTTTTACCTCTGGCAAAGACATAAAATTACAATTATAACTTGTTATTACTGTATTTTACTCTATACTTTCGGACATTTTTGGACTTACATCCACTTTTTAGCTTGTTAAGCTCGTATTTTGTGTTCATTCACTGTCTACATTGGGAGCTTTTGGGTTCAATTAGTTAATATTTTATCCTTTTAAGTTACCTATTGCGATAAGTTACCTTTAATATTGAGATAAAGCTGAACTTATCCTTCAAAAGCTATTTGGAAAGTTTACGCATGTGTGTATATCACATTAAATGTACACGCTCCTTATATAAAATAAATATAAATATGATTGGCTCGCCACCTTTTCACAATACCTGTGTTCGCGTGCCACCAATTTGGTGCGCCATTGGCGCTACCAAGTACCCTGCACCACCAACTCTGACTGTAACAATGAAACTGCATCGTAATTTTAGATAATTGTCCAAACGTAGCAAATTTCTAGGCAAGCCATTGTATGCAATGTGTGTAATGACTAATTACAGAGCTCTAAATAAATACCTCATAAATATGAATTTAATATTAACGTTCTCAAAAAATATCAAAGCTTTTTTATATAAAAAAATAAACCAATCAAATAAAATTTATCAAAATATATCTGCAAAAATGCATGCTGTATAAGCGCAAAATAGCGCACGCTTACACGTTTATTTAATTGGTGCGCGTCATTTTGTGTGCACCCGTGTATGCATTGTTTAATTAAAGGTTGATTTTATGAATGCAATACGTACGTACATTATTTGTCACACCAATAAATAGTATTATAATATATTGAGGGTGTGCGTTAATCTAGGATGCCAATGGACGCTAATTAGAAACCATGTATGCTATTCTGACGGTCTCAAATTTTATAACAACTCCTACGGACATTATTTCATGTCTATACAATATATATATAGGCTTCAGATTAAGATTTCTCTGTAGATCTGAATAATAGCATATTCAATTTGTCATGTTGTTTTGCTTCCATTTTAAAATTTATGCATATATACATATGCATGAAATAAAAAATGTACCTCAGACAAAATTTTAAAATTTAATATCAAGTTCATTTAGATATTATCCTTACCTTGAGTTGCTATTTTAGATATATTAAAGTTGCAGCATTACAGTATTATACATGTATGTTAAATTTGTCAGACAGTTAATAACGAATAAATTTATGTACGTATCTACTGCATGTATATATCAAGACTGTGTATAATTATCGAAACTTTTATAAAATGCTAAGTTTTTTGTTTACTCTAACAATTGATACTTTTAATTCAAGTTTAGTGAATTCTTTCATTACCTCAAACAATTGAAACTTTTAATTCAAGCTTATTGAATTCTTTATTACAACAAATCTACAAATTAATTTATACGTATTAACAATGAAACTCCATAATTTTAATTTCTTCTTGATCCTTTTTTCATATTTGCTGACTTTTACAATTTTTGTAAATGCTCATAACTATAAGCAAAAACAAAATTATGATATGCCTTGTAAAGATTGCTGCGAAAAACGTGGCAGCCCAGGATGGGAAAACAATTGTCATAGTGCTACCTATGAAGACTCGGATGTAACAAGCATTCCAACAGGTAGAATAGGCAGTGTCTCTACTGCAAATGAATGTTGCAAAAAATGCCTTGATGATAAGAATTGCATTCAATGGTCTTTTGGAAATAATCCTGTTGGAAATCCGCAAATTCTGGTTAATTCATGTTTTCTTTTCTATAATAACCTTATACCCGGTATCTGTAATATGCCATCACGATTACTAGCAGATCAAACTGAAGTACTTTTTGATTGTGGGGTAATTCGTTGTGAAAATGAAGGTTGTTTTAGTCATTAAAAAGTTTTTCTTTGACACCTGAATATTCCTTAGTGCTAATATTTTAAGTTTTTAAATTTATTTTCTATTTTTATTTTTTGCCTTTTTCTTTTATTGATAATAATATTTAGAAAATTTACGAGCACTAAAGACACTCTATCTTTTTATATCTTTATATCTATTATGTCATTTATAAATATTTTGGTATTAGAATGAGAACGGAAATATATTTGTATTATTTATTTCCTGGGGAAGTAGAAATTATAACAGAGGTTACCGATAATCATAGCACATGGATGGCCCTTCTGGCCATCCACGTGTTATAATTTCCCCAGGAAATAAATAAATAATTCCCAGGAGCGTGTCACTAGATGTTAATCGGACTACCATACCATTATTTTTACGCGTGTTCCATATTTATATTCGTATTGTGCTTTGCTAACTTTTGTGCTTCGCTTTATTATTTTTTTTATTTACATCATTTTTATTGCTTTACTTTTTTTATTGTCTTTGCTTTTTACTTCTACGTTTAACTTTTTTCAAACTCTTACTTTCACTTTGCTCTTATCATGCCTTTTTTTAGTTTCATTTTACTGTGCATATTTATTTTGGCTTTTAAAGTACTTTAGATAAAACGTGAAAAATACAAAAAAGAAAATGATTCAAATAAAAATTAAGCGTTAAAAATTAGAGTTTCCTGATTATCAATATGAGACCGGGAATCTTCCCCCGGCCACAATATGATTATTATAAATATAGTTAATCACGTGTAAAAAAATAATATTGAAGGTAGTTATGAGTGACACTTAGTGCAACAGGGGATTATTTGGTAGATTTAAACATTTAGTCTATTATAGATTAAAAGATTTGAAAAATAAAGTAGATAATAATTGAATAATAAAACAAATCATGCATCTGTCCATGCGCTAGCTGTTTTTTTTTACTCTATAAATTATCAGGCAGTTAAAAATCAGGTCATATGTCGCAAAAGGACTCTTCTCTACATTATCTGTTATTGCTGTTTTCATAAATTTTGGATATCTAATTCAATAAGTTTCAGGTTTTTCCCTCTGCATTACATAATGCAACATTATATCACATGATGCAACCCTGTATCTCTACACATATGACTACTTTATAATTACTATCTAATTTTTTTAATAGTTCGTCGATGTTGGTAATGATTTTAAATCCATTAACGATAGCTGATAATGGTAATAGAAAGATAGTACTTGTATAATTATTTTTTCTAATCAATCAGTGAAAAATTTCGACGAATAAGCGCAGCTCTATCATAAAAAAAAAGAACGATTTGTCTCTACTTTTTGTTGATTGGAACCTTGATTGGTTAAACGAACTTCCGCTAATAAATTTTTCTTTCTGACGTGACGTATTAAACTTTCACCACATGTTTTATTCAAATTTATAAAAAAAATGGTAATGACGATATTTTTATTTATCTTTTTTCAAAATAATTAGATATCCATGCATAATTATAGGTACTTATAAAAAGTAACTTGTAATTAAATACTACTGTATTTATTCCCGAGACGGTGGGAATAATGAATATTTTCCCATTCGTATGACGAGATATATATTTTATTAAGCACAACTTTTATTACAAAATTTTTTCCTTTTTTTCTTATTTGTTATTCCCCCAGATGAAAAAAATAAGAAAAATTTTGATAATAGTGTTCTCAGAGTACACTACTACAGATTTGTGCACATTATAAATTTTTTACCGTTCAATGTTGAAATTTTTTGAGAACAGTAAATAAATAGTTGTGTTCTCATAAGTATATAATAAGTAGCTGCAAATTTGAAATGAAAAAATGCGCCACATTGTGAAGAACATCAGGAAAATTTTTTAGTGCAGTTCTATGCAGATTTGCAAAAAATAAATAATAAATTAAATGAAAATTTTGTAAAGCTTCATGCTCAGCAGCTATAACCACGAAAATTAATTATAATTTTGCGCAAAATTTCAAATTATGAAAAATTTTGCAGTTTTTAGTAAAAATTCTGCAAAAATCTGCATTATTGCAAATTTTTGCAGATTTACACTTATTTAATTTTCCTGGTGAAGATAATAATTATTAGATTAGATTTTTTTCTTTTTCAGAAATATTATATTTCATTAAACTTGCAATTTGATGTATATTATATTTAATTAATATTGGTATAAAAGCATAAATTTTACGCTGAAACTTTATACTTACTATTTTGATTCTTATTACATTTTTCAACAAATACAGTATTATTGGGCACTATATTTTTTTTTTGACATAAAAGAACATAAAATATAAGTTTGAGAACACCTATAATTATTATATTGTTCTCATGAGAGCGGTATTTTGATCGTAAATTTTAAACACTGTTAATAACATGTAAATCCCCGTCGTGCGATCATAATGAGACAGTGAATGAACAAAGTATACGTATTATATATAAACTAAAAAGTATAAATAATAGCTATTATAATACTGTAGTTAGAGTTGGTGGTACAGTTATAATCTAAGTGGTGCACCATATATATACCAACAAGATCTTCTAGTGTGTGGTGCACCTGACGGTGCACCATTATACTACACATATTGTCTTATGCTTATACTTGCCGCAAAAACTACTTGTCCCAAATCCTAAATCCCAATCCCAAATCCAATTTTATTATATTTGTGATTGGGATTTGGGCTTTGGGACAATTTTACTATGTTTGGATTTGGGAGGGATTTTGGGAGTATAGTTTGGGCGGCATGTATACTGATGCTAGTAGCTGCATATATATCTATCTTTTGTTTTACCTCTGACAAAGACATAAACCTACAATTAAATCTTGTTATTACTGTATATTACTTTCGGCATTTTCAGACATTACTTCCACTTTTTAGCTTGTTAAGCTCATATTTCACTGTCTATATTGGGAACTTTTGGGTTTAATTAGTTAATATTATATTCTTACAGTTAGCCTATTGCGATAAGTTACCTTTAATATTGAGATAAAGCTGAACCTATCCTTCAAAAGTTATTTGGAAAGTTTATGCATGTATATATGTCACATTACACGTACACGCTCCCTTATATAAAATAAATATAAATATGAATGGCTCGCCACCTTTTCAGAATACCTTCGTTGGCGTGCCACCAATTTGGTGTGTCATTGGTGCCACCAAGTACCCCGCACCACCAACTCTAACTGTAACAATGAAACTGCATCTATAAATGTTGTCATTTTAGATAATTGTCCAAACGTAGCAAATTTCTAGGCAATTTAAATGCAAGCTATTGTATGCAATGTGTGTAATGACTAATTACAGAGCTCTAAATAAAATACCTCATCAATATGAATCCAATACTAACGTTCTCAAAAAATATCAAAGCTTTTTTTTTTAAAAAAATAAACCAATCAAATAAACTTTATCAAAATATATCTGCAAAAGTGCATGCTGTATAAGCACAAAATAGCGCACACTTACATATTTATATAATTGGTATGCGTGTCATTTTGTGTGCGCCCGTGTATGCATTGTTTAATTAAAGGTTGATTTTATGAATGCAATACATACATCATTCGTCACACCAATAAATAGTATTATGATATATTGAGGGTGTGCGTTAATCTAGGACGCCAATGGACGCTAATTAGAGACTATGTATGCTATTCTGACGGCCTCAAATTTTAAAACAACTCCTACAGACATTATTTCATGCCTATACAATATATATATAGGCTTCAGATTAAGATTTCCATGTAGATCTGAATAATTGCATATTCAATTTATCATGTTGTTTTGCTTCCATTTTAAAATTTATACACATATACATATGCATGAAATAAAAAATGTACTTCCAGACAGAATTTTAAAATTTAATATCAAGTTCACTTAGATATTATCCTTATCTTGAGTTGCTATTTTAGATATAGTAAAAGTTGCAGTGGACCAATATTGAGCTTGAAATTATAATTCAAACTTTAGCATTACAGCATTATGCATGTATGTTAAATTTGCCAGACAGTTAATAACGAATAAATTTACGTATGTACCTACTGCATGTATATATCAAAACTATGTATAATTATCGAAACTTTTATAAAATGCTAAGTTTTTTGTTTACCTCTAACAATTGATACTTTTAATTCAAGTTTAGTGAATTCTTTTATTACTTCAAACAATTGAAACTTTTAATTCAAGCTTATTGAATTCTTTATTACCACAAATCTGCAAATTAATTTATGCGTATTAACAATGAAACTCCATAATTTTAATTTCTCCTTGATCTTTTTTTCATATTTGCTGACTTTTACAATTTTTGTAAATGCTTAGCAAAAACAAAATTATGATATGCCTTGTAAAGATTGCTGTGAAAAACGTGGCAGCTCAGGATGGGAAAACAATTGTCATATTTTTACTGATGAAGACTCAACAATGATAGACAATCCAATAGGTAAAATAGGCAGGTCTCTACTGCAAATGAATGTTGTAAAAAATGCCTTGATGATAAGGATTGCATTCAATGGTATTTTGGAAATAATCCTGTTGGAAATCCGCAAATTCCGGTTAATTTATGTTTTCTTTTCTATAATAATGAACTTACACCCGATATCTGTACGATGCCACCACAACCAATAGCAGATAAAACTGAAGTACTTTTTGATAGTGGGATAATTCGTTGTGAAAATGAAGGTTGTTTTAATCATTAAAAAGGTTTTCTTTGAAACCTGAATATTTCTTAGTGCTAATATTTTAGGTTTTTAATTTATTTTCTATTTTCTATTTTTTCCTTTTTCTTTTATCGATAATAATAATTATAAAATTTACGAGCACTAAAGACACCCTATTTTTTCATATCTTTATATCTATTATGTCATTTATAAATATTTTGTTATTAGAATGAGAATGGAAATATTTTTTTGGTAAATTTAAACATTTAGTCTATTATAGATTAAAAGATTTTAGAAATAAAGTAGACAATAATAAAACAAATCATGCATCAGTCCATGCATTTGTGATTTTTTTTTCTCTGTAAATTATCAGGTAGTTAAAACTCAGGTCATGTGTCACAAAAGACGCTTCTCTACATTATCTGTTATAGCTGTTTTCATAAACTTTTGGATATCTAATTCAATAAGGTGGTAATTTTGGTTATGATTAGTGATATACGAATGCAAGTTTTTTCCTCTGCGTTTGTTAACACATCATCATAAACTATGATAATTAGTTTATTCTTCCGCATAAGTAACTGCTCATAAAATTGCTTGATTTTTTTATTTAACCAGTTAAACTTATAAAAATAATAATTAAGACAGTATTTACAAGTTAACATAATAAGTATACATTATCCGGAAATTTATGATCATGATTGGTAGGGAGTCACTCGCTGAGTTTGTTTTTTTTTGAATATTGGAAAAACATAATTACATAGTAACACATGAAAAAAATAACAAAAAGAAATTTTTTCATGATCATAAGAGTTTGCCGGATAAATAAAGTTAGATATCAAATGTAAATTTTACTCTTGAGAACTACTTTATTATACAAACATTTTTTTATTATTATTGATCATATAAATTAAACATTAAATAATAAAAATTTTATTGAGTTAAATTTATATAATTAATTTAATGTTCATTTTTAACTTTTAAACCATTTATATTGCAGCATGCATAATTATCATGGTACATCTCTAGTTTTGATTTATATATATCAGTGTTTCGATACTAAGTTTTAAGATTAAATTCAGATCCTCCTATGGTTTGCAGTATACGTTTTACTTGATTACCCGTAGCTTTGTTAAGACTATTTTACGTGTAAGTAATGTCAAATATCCTTTACCTAATTGAAGATACTTTTAACAGCATTATTAGAAATTAAATCCTGTACGGTTAAAATGATTAAACGCCTAAGAGCTCTTACAGGTTTTTGTTTGATATCATTCATAATTTCTGGATTTAATATTCGAACTAATCTCTTTATTAATGCACTGTATACCTACTAAGTAAGAATTATTATAACCATTATAAAATCATTTATATATTAAAATTTGGTTCTTTGCAATTTGTTCATTAAACTGGTGAATCCGGTCTAATATTTATTAATCTGGGTAGTTAATATAAACAACTAAATTCATGAATAGTTATTATCTTAAATACCTTATTTGTTCACATTTATCGCTATCATAAGTTCATTATAATTTTATAATTGATAGGATCAGTATATTTTAAGAAATTTTCTATTATAAACATGTGAGAATATTTGCTATTCGTATATTTGATAATTTAATAATTTGATAATTTCATAAAATCAAAAACCCTAAATATGTCGTTTTAAATCGGTATGCATTTACAATTAATAGGAAAATCTATATAAAAAAAAAAATTTAAAATAATAAGTTATTACATATTTTCCTAAATGCATACTTCAAACAAATATTCACGCATGTTTTAATAACGTAATTTGAAATTCTATATTTACATTATAAAATAAATCCACATTTTCTAAATTTTAACATAGAGAATTTGCGATCTTAAATTAATTCTACCTATCTTGTTTGAGTATGTGCAGTTCTTCTATCGTATCAATACGAAGAATTTTGAATATATTAACCTCCCACTATTTGAATGTTAGATTATACTAAAGTTGATTTTTTAGAATGATTTGACGCTCATCATAATGATTTCTATCTATCAAACTTCGTTTATATTCCTTTTATCGATGAAGGTCTTTAACATTCGACCAAAGGTTTCACAATTTATGAAAATATATCCTTGTAAATCTATAGGTATCGAAGTGGATTCAAATTACGGATGGCAAGTTTTCATCATATGTTTTAATTCTCTTAATTTTTTCAATAATAACAATAAAAATCAAATATTTAATCAGATTATAGAAATTTAAGTACTTGATTACATAGCATCTGAAGTAGCCACATTATCTAAAGTTTTTACTTTAAATATCTAAACAGCACTTGGCTAACATGAAGGTAGCTAATTTTGGTTGGGTGTTATTTTATTTATTTAAAGTAGTAACTTCAGATAGATTGATTTAATAAAAAACATAAAAAATGGGTTAAACCATATTTTTGACATCCTAATTCAAGTATAATGACTAATAAAAAAAATGTTGATTCGAATAAAAAATAATAAGATTGTTCAAGTATAAAAATAAAATGGTATACTAGCTTCAATTTCGTAATATTACAATTTCCAAGTATAAAAATAAAATGGTATACTAGCTTCAATATCGTAATATTACAATTTCCAAGATCAAGTTCGATATTCATTTATGAATTGTTAAAACTCTAATACTAGCTTTCAAGTTAGTCCCACGAAAATCTACTGCGTACAGTAATACTGTACGCAGTATGGCGTAATCATATTAATTATAGCTGCCGCAACAAAAATGGTCCGGAAGATTCTCGATTTTGATTGGCTAAGAAAAATTAGGCCAGAATTACTCATAATTTTACTAATGTTCCTGGGCAATTTTACTATAATGCATTACGGCGACTTTTTATATTACCCTAAAAATTATGACGCATATTTGACGGATGTGTTAATATGAGTTGACATATTTAATAAATTAATAAATATATAAACCAGATCAACTTTGAAAAAATAGAGATTGGTTTTAGGTGAGGAGATTGGTTTGACGCAATAATATTATATTGGTTTTATTAGGGATCATTTTGATAGATGCATCATGTGACTGATACAGAAAATCAAGTTCTTAATTTAGGTACTATTATAAAAAGCCGCAGCGATGGTGGGATTATTTTTAAGAATTTCTATTTTTGTAATGAAAAAAATTAAAAGTTAATTCCGGCCGGAAATTAGTAAAAAACTTTGAAGATCCTCGACCATTAGCCAATCAAAATCAAATATCTGCAGCTATTACTATTACTACGTACGTACGTACGTACGTACGTAGACACAGATTCACATCTTGCATATACATTCACTGTTTTGAATTTATCGAAAGATGGTAATCAAACTTTTTGAAAAACTTTCGAATAATTATATTGAACTTTTTGAGAAGGGAGAAGATTATAATGTGATTATTAGTGTGGGAAAATTTCCAAATGCTAAAGAATTTAAAGCATACTCAGCAATTTTGAAATATAGGTCTAAATATTTTCAGAATAAATTAGAAAACGCCATCAAAGATACAAATAAC